AATTCAAATCTTTTAAAAAGTATAACAAATTCAGAAAGAATTAATATATAGCATGCGGTCAAGGTACAATATCACCTTGGATTTTTCTACCCAAAATAATTGCTTCAATAATGTTGCCTACAATTTTTAAAATTTCGTACCATATTTTAACTGGCTTTTATTATTTTAATATCTAAATTGCATTTTTCACACTAATAATTCAATGTACATTATTACTTACGTTCATATTTGAAGTGAATTAATTTGTCAAATTTTGTTCACATGTGCCCTATTCAACCTACTATCAACAAAATTATTGCAGTAAATGAAGAGGAAAAAAGCGTATGCCCAGCTAATCTTAATCTAAAGTTCAGAAGTGAAAACAATCTGCAAATTCGTCACCACTCCCCGCATTAATTGGATTATAACTCTTTTAATTCTGATTTTATCATAACTTGTAATATACTATTTTAAAGGTGATTAAATTAGCTACAACTTTCTTTATTATAAATTTTACCGTAACTTCTCTTATTTTGAAACGGCGAAGGGTTAAAGGGCTCGAAAAACACTCCAGTTGGACAGCCGCGCACTCTTTAAACAATTAGAACTCTATCAATATTTGTGTAACAAAAAAATAATAAAAACCAATAATTAGTCTGAAAAATTACTTGAATTTTCATTGTATATACTTTTATACGTATTCTTTCAGAGATATTATAATGAGAAATTGTTTTTTTTCAAATGGAGTTTTTTGAAAATCGATTGTACTAATGTTATGGTATTTTCTAGAATCCATCAAGATCTCTTAAACCAAGTTAATTCTAGATGGAAAACGATTATTTTTAATTTTGGTGGTAATGGCACTCATAAACTATCTGATTTAAATGAAAAAAAAAACATTGTATGCGTCTTTTAATTGCATGATAGCTCACTCAATTTACACGCAGAAGTACTTCTTTTGAAGCTTATTATGAGAACTATAAAAACCCATTTTCATAATTAACTTAATATTGTTCCTAGAACACTGTAAAATAGCGATTTATTAGGATTTTTATTGATATAATTTTGTTCATTACATGATTTTTGTTAAAATGTATATTTTTGAAGATATTAGCGAAAAACGATGAAAAACGCAAAAAAGAAACAAATTTTCAGTAGCCAGTAACTTGAAAAGTATTTGCTTTTTTGAAAAACATTATTAAACATTTTTCTCTTATAATTAGTTCTTTTATCGATACCCAACGTTATTTTGAAAAAAGTAAAATTACACCACTGAAAAGAAATGTTATCCACCCGAGAAGTGGTAAAGGAGTCTAAATTGTTTTCACTTCTGAAGAGTAAGATAAACCTAGCTCCAAAATTTCAAACGAAATGAAAAACAGTAAAAAAAGTTCAGACCGAAAGCGCTCCATTGAGTAAATATTCCGTACCCAATGACAAACATATGAATTTTTGACACAATGAAACTTCTAAATAATTTTTTTTGGTTTGTAACTTAGTGTAGTAAGGCAAAACGACTGCAATTGAATATTTTTGAGCGCAATCACTTATGGCTCTCTCCTTTGCACGAATTCGTACGGCGAATCTGTTCGCAAAGTGCGCAGACAAAATTATTGCAAGCAAAAGCAAACCACGCGCACGTCAGACGCATGCGCAGACTGCATCATCACTTGTCAAACGCATGTTATATTATTTGCATATTATATTAATTTAATTTTTGGCACATCTCAGCTGCTTTTCGGCAATAATAATGTAGACATTACATTTTCCTTATTTATAATTATGAATTTATTATATTTTAATATTGACTTAGCCTATAAGTGAATAGAAATGTTTGGCAAATGACAGTTGTCATTTGTTTTTAATGTCAAACCATGCCTTAAATATTTTAAAGGTCAAACAATGATAAGCGGTTTTTTGTATTTTTTTCCATTTATTTCTACAATCTAACTATATTTCTGTGAATCAAAACATTCTAGAAAATTTCCCGAACAAACTTCAGGAAGATTCATGAAAATCCGAATTATAGTTTACGAGGATTAATGAAACTTACATTGTTACAGAAGAATTTTATATATAATATATATATATATATATATATATATACCCTAGTAGAAATGTATCGTGGCCAGAGGGGTAAAATATCGTGGCGCAATATTCGAATCTTGTCTTTGGATGGACCGGACAATATTTGTTTTCTAAATTATGGAAAATTTGGAAAATTCATGTGAGAACTGTTTTATATGGTTTATTACAAATAAAAAACATGTTTCCCATCTGATTTACACTTCTAATTTTATATTTACACGTATTATACATAATTTTTAAATGAGGGCATAATCGTAGTTTTTTCTGGGCGTCCAAGATTCGTTTCTTTAAGTATTATCGAACTTGGGAAATACATGGTATTTATAAGGGTCACGAAAAAAATTAACTTTAAATAATTAATTAGCACCAAAATCATGATTAAAGCTTTTAAAAAGTCATATGCTCGATCACAATTAATAGTTTGATACATATTTCTTATAAATTCAATATAAATTTCAAATGTGGGGGTTATGCATTTTTTTTCTGGGCAACCACGATTCGTTTCTTCAGTATTATCGAACTTGGGAAATATGTGGTCTTTATAAGGGTTACGAAAAAAATTAACTTTAAATAATTAATTAGCACCAAAATCATGATTAAAGCTTTTACAAAGTCATATGCTCGATCGCAATTAATAGTTTGATACATATTTCTTATAAATTTAATATAAATTTCAAATGTGAGGGTTATGCATTTTTTTCTGGGCAACCACGATTCGTTTCTTCAGTATTATCGAACTTGGGAAATATGTGGTCTTTATAAGGGTTACGAAAAAAATTAACTTTAAATAATTAATTAGCACCAAAATCATGATTAAAGCTTTTAAAAAGTCATATGCTCGATCGCAATTAATAGTTTGATACATATTTCTTATAAATTCAATATAAATTTCAAATGTGGGGGTTATGCATTTTTTTTCTGGGCAAGCACGATTCGTTTCTTCAGTATTATCGAACTTGGGAAATATGTGGTCTTTATAAGGGTTACGAAAAAAATTAACTTTAAATAATTAATTAGCACCAAAATCATGATTAAAGCTTTTAAAAAGTCATATGCTCGATCGCAATTAATAGTTTTATACATTTTTCTTATAAATTCAATATAAATTTTAAATGTGGGGGTTATGCATGTTTTTTCTGGGCAACCACGATTCGTTTCTTCAGTATTATCGAATTTGGGAAATACATGATATTTATAAGAATCACAAAAAAATTAACTATAAATAATTAATTAGCACAAAAATCATGATTAAAGCTTTTACAAAGACATATGCTCGATCGTAATTAATAGTTTGATACATTTTTTTTACATGAATGAAATGCCTTTAAAGGGCTTCATATAAATCAAATATTAATAAACAATATTAAAATCCCATTCAAAACTAAAATAAACTCAATATTGAAAACTAATATAAGATTAATATAAATAAACAATATTTGCTCGATCGTAATTAACAGTTTGATATAAATTTTTTATAAATTCAATATAAATTGTGAATATTGTATTCATATTCATTTTTTCTTTATTATCGAAAGGGGTATTTACATTGGTCAAGAAAATAATCAATTTTAAATCATGAATTAGCGCTAAAAACGAATATCAATGGTGACTCTAAAAAAACATATTCTGATCAGATCAGAATTAATTAATAGCTAAATTAATTAAATTCATTATTAAATGTGAAGATATGCAAAAAATTGCATTTTCGATTTTCGTCTCATTTCTATAAGTCACATGACTTACTTAAGTTTTTTCCTGGTTTGGTATGTAATAATATTAATTAAATCTGTTATATCTACTAGTAATATATCGATTTATATTTATAAATTTAGACGTTTTATATTTATTCATATAGAATAATAACATTCTGAAATTGCACCATAAACATGTATGTATATGGTGAACATGTGGTTGCTTTGTGTACGATGTCTCTTTCTCTTCGTCCTTCGGCCTTCGTAAAAGGACCCTACGCATGTACCTGACTGATATCAGTTGTGGCCGTAGTTATTTTATACGTATTTTACGAACTAATAATATGTCATTGCAATTTTGTTCTAATAACATATTTTTACATTTTTGTAATAGCAATTATTATTTATATTACGATACTAGTTTATTATTTATATTTATGTTATTTAAGAGTAAAAGTTTAATTAATTTAAAGGCAAAAGAAGATTTCTTTCAATTTATTATTGTGTACATAGAAAAAGAGTATGATTGTAAAAAATGTTTCTTCATATGGTACTGGAGAATTTTTGATGTTCATGGGCTACTGGAATTCGTTCAATGGAAAACAATTTCGATGTGCAACTTCAAGTAAGTCCTCCCATACTATATTTTGGCGTAAAGCCAAATTAGTTTTGAATTCAATGCAGTTCATAAAAAGTAGGGCTTTTGCAAAACCTCCATGCATCAAAAACTTCATTAGTACAATAGAAGGCTTGAACTATATTTGGAATAAATTAAAAAGTGTCCAGGGATTTTCTTATTTTTGCACCAGCAATTTTAATCAAGATCCCTTGGAGAATTTTTTTGGTTGCATAAGAAGTCATGGGGGTTCAAACACTAATCCAAGTTGTCACTCTTTTGTGTCCGCCTTTAGGACTTTGCTAGTCAACAATTTATCATCTCGCCATTTACCGTTTTCTAATTGTGAAATCGATGATACAACTGAATTACTTGCCTCATTTCGAGTGTTTTTAAATAATGAAGATGTCTTGGAAACTGACGCTCTGATCAATATGTCTATTGCCACAGAGCCGTTCATTTTCCAGGACATGTCATTGTACAGTAAGACTGCTAATGCTTACGTTGCAGGATATTGTACTAAGAAACTTCTCGGATATGTTGGTGAATGTCATATTTGTACATCTGAACTTTTAGGAGATCTGATTGGCAGGGATGAAGCTTCTTGGATTGCATCTAGGGATTACACAGGCCATTCACTTTTGGTTCCAGGAACTTTATTTTTTTTATCTGTTTATTAAATGCAGTCAGGCACTGGTTCATTTCATTAAAGATTTATGTATTGATGGTAAATTGAAGATGAAATTTCAAATAATATTAGAAAAACATGTACTAGATGATTTCAATTTTCTTTGCCAAAAGCGTAACTTAAAACAAATTTTTCTAGTTTATTTTATATTATTTTTTATAAACACCTGGAATTGAACTGTGAATAGATATCTTACAGGAAAATATATAAATAAAAATGAGCAGGATCCAGTAAAAAAATGGCTTTAGCCAAATATAAAAAAAGTGTCAGATCTCGTAGTACTCGTCTGAGGCAGAAAAATCCAAATATTTTTTGATAAACATTAATTAATTTGCATTCCTATTATAGATTTTATTATTACTTTCAAATTTTAGTGCTCTCAATCTTATTTATATATTTTCTGGAGAACATTAAACAATTCTTATTCCCACTAAAATTTTATTTATGAATTTGAATTTTTTATTACTCTCATTTTTATTTCAATAAACATGTTTTTCTAATTTATTTATAATTGATTTTAGTTTTTTTCATTATTACTATATAAAATGGTTTCAGTATAATGCATTACATAAATATTTCTAGTTTTGCATCCTGTTTCTTGCTGATGTGGTCTGTGTAATTTCTACATTAATTCTAAGATTCTCTCTCTTTGATTTAATAAATTGTTGAAAGGAACTTAAAGGCAGATTATTTTTATTTTTTTTCATTAATTTTTTTTTATTTTGTTTTTCAATATTTCATTTTTTTATTTTTCTTTATTTACTTTTGTCCTTTTTATGGTCTGCATTAAATACATCTGGGTTCTTTTGACACTATCAAATCATAGATGATCACTTCACATCTTTGTGGCATTCATATAAATTTATTTTTGTTTAATGAAAATGGTTTTAATATAAGTTTATTGTTATATATATTATTTTTATTTATTACATTAGCAAATGTGAGGACTTATAAAGCAAAGCTATTTCATGCCTAATATTTTAATGCATTTCCATTGAGGGTTAGTGATATAATATTCCTCGCTAAATAACTTGAGCAGCATCCCAATATAGTGTTTAAATTCAGGATATATTTGCTACTCATCATGGAAATCAAAAACGTTGCTTTTACCTTTTAATTGCATGTGCATAAAACTTTTTTCTCTTCATTGTAAACACAATGTGATACTTTCTGATCTTTTATGACAATTTTGATGATAATGTTTTCATCATAATCATAACGCGGTTGAATTAATGTTTTTAAAATACTCATACACAGACACTATTCAAAGATTTTGTTGAATGGAGCTTTATTTATGATTGATTAGATAGCAAAGTAACTATTAAATGCAGAGTTAATAAAGAATAATGTCTCGTAAATGAATTTTGATCCTAGGAATTTAGTGTTTTTTCAATTTTGATATCAATATATATATTTTATGTTTTTAGGGCTTTTTTGTTTGTGGAGTATTTGTTCTTTTTAACAAATGATCTGTTCTTTTTATCCTTTTAAATTTTTGCATTACTTGTTATTCCTTCTAGTTTTGTGATTCCTGCTAAATATGTCATTCTATCGTCAATACTCCTGCGCTTTTCTCTTCTTAGTTTTTAAGTTTTTAATATATTATTATTAGTCTTTAAGTAATTAATATTAATAAGTTATTTCTCTTTAATTTGTGGTGATTTAAATATTAAATATATGTCTGTAATATACTTTAGTTAATATTAGTCAGTAATTTCTGTTTTGTTTATAATTTTATATTCTATAATATGTTATATATATTTGTAGTTTGTGATATATCACAAATATGTTTGTGATATATTTGAAAATATATTTTGTATTCCGTATGTTTTGTTCTTATTTCTAGTATTAAATTTTTTTCAGATTTTTTCGCTGTGTTGATTATATGTAGAAATGTATAAGTAATACCAGGGGTTAAATTACAAAATGTACATGTGCTGTCATCTATAATCAAAGCTCCGCATTTCAATCGATAAAACGCCAAATAGCCAGACATAGCTATCTATTTATACTTGTTTATCTGTGTTATCTATTTATATATCTAATTTGTTATTGTCTATCTATTTATACTTGTTTATCTCTCTTGTTTATACTTGTTTATCTATGGTACTGACTCCGTTTTTTTCGATTTTCCAATGTGTTCCACCAAATTGATTTGAAAAATATATGCAGTACTTAAAGAAGAAACATTAGGCTTTCGAATAACGCTAATTAGAAAGTGGTCCAACTAAACGCACTGCACAAAAACACCAATTGAAAAATTATTTTGTTTTTTTCAGCTAATAATAAACAATTTTTGGCATCGATTGTTCTACATAAAGTGATCTGTGTCAATGTGAATAGAATCACATAAAAATATTTTCAATATCATTTATGGTTACGCGAAAAAGTGAGTTTGAAAGAAAAGGCCACTTTGGCATATTTTCAATGATATCTCGGCCATAAGATGAGATACAAAGTTGAAAATTGGTATAAATATTTTATACCAGGGTGGGGCCGATGTTGTATGGCAATGCGCCCATACCCTTTAGTGCGTATAAAATCTACCATTTGCAATCGTTATATACTGAATTGTATTTGGTTGCGGGAACACGACCGTTTACCTCGGACACTTGGGTTTTATATACGGTATAGACAACACACCTTCCTCCGAATACTTTAGGTTCTTTCCTTGGTATTGATAATACACTTTCTACTTAATAATTTCTTTATTGCATAATATATACAATAATATGTACAATAACTCCAGTCGACGACTGTACGGAAAATAACCCCGACTAAGCCCATTGCGTCGGTTTTATACTGGGTCCTTAACGGTACCCGCCAGGGTTACACAACCTGCTGCAATGGGCAGGGGTATGAAACCTTTACATAATTTTAAGTTTTCACAAAATAAGGTTCGTTACATATCACGCCCCTCCTAAAGCATCTGTCAGTCCTCTGACAGAAAATAAAAAAAAAAATTAAATATGGGAGGTTGAGGTTCTCCTCCCCCTTGAAAAAAAAATTATTGTCCTCAATAACTTCTGAACCTTATTTTTTACAAAAAAAAGGAAAAAAAATATTGGTTATAATATACAAACATTTTCAATTTTAAGATTGACAGTGCTTAAACTTTTGCAACATGGCTATTTGCACATAAATTTATAGGGCTTTATATTTTTGTATTACTATTCAGATGTAAATTTCTTTAAATTATTGTTGTGGATACATACAATTTTACCCTTAACATTTATCTTGGAGTTTACACCATCTTGTTCCAAAACTTCATATGGGCCTTTGTATATCGGCATCAATTTTTTGCATTTGCCCTTGTATGGGGTATTATCTTTCATCAAAACCAAATCACCAACGGAAAAATTAGACTCCTTAATATATGAATCGTATTTTTCTTTGGATTTTATTTTAGATTGGATTAAGTTTTCTCGAGCTACTGCATTTATTTGCTGTAGTTTGGTTTTGAATTCACTGCTAAAATTTTCATAAGTATTTTGTATTTTGGGTTCCCTACTTATAAAGGCAGGCAAATCAACTTTACGCCCAAATACAAGCTCAAAGGGTGTAAATTTTGTGGAACAATGCGGTGTTGTGTTGTGAACAAAAACGGCGTAATTTATCCATGTATCCCAAGTTTTATCATCCTTCCCAATGTATGACCTTATAAAATTTAGAAACATGTGATGACACTTTTCTAAAGAGGCATTAGATTCAGGATGATACATTGAGATATTTATTTTGTCAATTTTTAAAAGTTTGCATACATCCTTAAATACGGTACTCATAAAATTTGTACCTTGGTCCGTCAAAACCTCTTCTGGTATACCAAATCTAAGAATAATTTCATTAAAAAAAGCCTTGGCTATTGTTTTGGCTTCTTGGTTTGGTATCGGTATAGCTCCTGCAAATTTTGTTAAATCGTCAATAAAAGTTAGCATGTATTTACTTTCATTGTTGGAAACAGGGTATGGACCACATATATCAAGACTAATTCTTTCGAAGGGATATGTAGATGTTGTAGTTATTAACATTGGTTCTCTTGTCGCTTTGGAGGCTTTGCTTAGTTGACATTTTTCGCATTTATTTATAAATTTTTCTATGTCCTTTCTCATATTAGGCCATAAATACGATTCTCGGATTTTGCTGTAAGTTTTACCTATACCTTGATGTCCACCTAAAGTATGATTATTATGAAAATACTCTAAAATAGAATTAATTTCCTCTTGGGTTAGATTAGTCTTAACAAAATCTTTATAAAATGTTATTTTAACATCAGTATCTTTGAAAAGAAACCTAAAAATTATTAAAATTTCCTCAACCTTTAAATTCTTGTAGTCATTTAATTTTACGGGATTGGCAACATGTAATTCCTTCATATTATTGGATTCCACGAGACATTTTAGAGAACTTATACATTCAAATATGTCTTTCAAATGAACCCTTTCATGCTCTTTATGTGTTATTAAATAAATGTAGTTATATCCATCCTCCATTGCTTCTATAGTTGAATGAGTTGCTGTGTCCCTTGTAAAATCATTTGTCCTTTTAGGAACAAAAATGACTCGAGGTATGGATTTTAGACTAGTATTAATATTGTCGTTACTCTCTACTACGTGATCATTAATTATGCAATTATTATTTTTAAAATTTATAAATTTCTCATAGGCGTTTCTCAGTGTTAAAACCAACTTTTCTTCAATATTTTGGTTTCCTATTCCATATCTCGACAGGCAGTCGGCGACGACTTTGGCTTTTCCAGGTTTGAACCGGACATCAAAGTCGTATTCGTCCATCGCAAGTTTCCATAGAATATGCCTAGCGGTAGGCTCCTTGCAATTGTAGAGGTATGTTAGTGGCTGGTGATCCGTGTAAATCAGGAATTTGTGTCCGTATAAATATGGTCTAAATTGTCGTACACTCCAAATAATAGCTAACAATTCCTTATCAATTGTGGCATAGTTCTTTTCAT